AGTTTTGTCCACCTTTCCTTTAGTAAACCCATGATTTACTAAGAATAGGGACAATGTGTCATACCAAGCTCTGGGAGCTTGTTTAAGACCATAGAGGGCCTTTTTGAGCTTGTAGACACAGGAGGATTGAGTAGGAATGATAAAACCTGGAGGTTGTTCAACATAAACTTCCTCTTCAAGTTCTCCATTCAGAAATGCACTCTTAACATCCATCTGGTAGACTTTGATGTCATTGTAGGCAGCATAAGCTAGGAATATCCTGATTGCTTCCAGTCTTGCAACAGGTGCAAAGGTTTCATCAAAATCTATGCCTTCTTCTTGACAGTATCCCTTTGCTACAAGCCTTGCTTTATTCCTTACAATGTTGCCTTCTTCATCTGCTTTGTTTTTGAATACCCACTTGGTTCCAATGACATTCTGATGCTTTGGTCTGGGAACAAGTTTCCATACTTCATTCCTTTCAAACTGTGTCAGCTCTTCTTGCATTGCATTGATCCAGTCTGAATCTTCTAGAGCTTCTTCCACACACATTGGTTCCATCTGGGAAATACAGCAAGTGAACATGGCTTCTCTTCTTGATGCAGATCTGGTCCTTACTCCACTGGTAATTTGACCAATCACTTGATTAGGAGGATGGTCTCTTAACCAAGTTAGATCAGGTTCTGATGGTTGCTGTCTAGGCAACTCTGATGGTTCATCTTCTGATACATCATCTTCATCTTCATCTTTGTCTGTCAGAACTGGATTAGTGAAAGGAGTTGAGAGTATTGGATTGATGGTGACCTCTTCTGATAGGTCTGAAACCTTATCTTCAAGATTGATCTTCTGTAGGGTCTCTGATAATTCTTCTGCAGAGGTACCATCATCAAATTTGACATGAATGGATTCTTCAACTTGTAGAGTTCTCCTGTTAAGTATTCTATAGGCTTTGCTTGAGCTTGAGTAGCCTAAGAATACACCTTCATCAGCTTTTTCTTGAAATACCTTCAGATTATCCTTTCCATTGTTTAGAATGTAGCACTTGCATCCAAACACATGGAAATAGCTGATGTTTGGTTTTCTTCCTTTCCACAGCTCGTAGGGGGTCTTCTGATGATTCTTGTGGATCATGCTTCTATTTTGAGTGTAGCATGCAGTGTTGATAGCTTCAGCCCAGTATCTGATGGGCAGTCCTGATTCTGCAATCATAGTTCTTGCAGCTTCCTTCAGAGTTCTGTTCCTTCTTTCTGCAACACCATTTTGTTGGGGTGTTCTGGCAGCAGAAAGTTGATGGAAGGTACCATTTTGATCACAGAAGTCTTTGATCACTTTGTTGACAAATTCAGTTCCTCTGTCAGATCTGATTGTTCTGACCTTCATGTTCTTCTCAATTTGAAGTTGCTTTAACAGAGATGGCAACTTCTGAAGAGTTTCATTTTTCTTGGTTAGGAACAAAGTCCAAGTATATCTTGAGTAATCATCAACCATAACAAGAGTATATCTTTTTCCACCAACACTGGGAGTTTCAACTGGTCCAAATAAATCCATGTGGATCAGATTTAGAGGACAAGTAGAAAGATCTCCAGCTATGGGTTTGAATGAAGTCTTCACTTGTTTTCCTTTCTGACAAGCACTGCAGAGGGTCTCCTTCTTGTAGACAATGTCAGGCAGACCATCTACAATGTGTTCCCTTGCCAGTTTGTTGATGGTTTTGAAATTCAGATGGCTAAGCTTTTTGTGCCAATCCCAGCTTAGCTTTGAATTGTCTTTTGCTATCAGACATGTTCCATCTTTTGCTGTTTGCCAGTCAACAACATAGATGTTCTTCCTTCTCTTGGCTGTAAGAACCACTTCTTTGGTTGTCTCATGCTTGACATAGCATAAGGTCTTGGTGAATTCAACTGTGTAGCCTTTGTCACAGAATTGGCTAGCACTCAGCAAGTTGAACTTTAGACCTTTGACATATGAGACATCTTCAATGATTATCTGGTTCTTGATCAGCTTCCCTCTTCCTTTTGTTTGCCCTTCCTTGTCATTTCCACCGAAAGTGACTCTGGGTCCATTGATTTTCTGGAACTCTGATAGGCAACTCTGGTCACCTGTCATGTGTCTGGAGCATCCACTGTCAATATACCATTCTTTTTCTGAGATGGCTCCAGCACACAGTTCCTGCAAGATTAAAAGGAAGATTTAGGTACCCAAGCAATGTTGGGTCCTGGGGGGTAATGCAGTCTTGGAAGTTGGTACCATTTTGGTCTCATCAACTGAAACCTTGGTGGATGGTACCCATTATCCACCTGGTAGTCGTAGTAAACAGATGTATGATTCACTTTGGGCAGATGCTTGTGAGGATCATGCTTTCTGTTTGCATACTTTTGCATAGCCTTCTTTGTTGGAAAGAAGTCCCATATACTATCAAGATCAGAGGAGCGCTTAACTTTAGGCTTCTGATGTTGACCAGACAACCTCTTCTGCCTATAGTTAATCTTCTCTTGATATCTGCCTCTCTGATAGCAGTTTCTGATACCATTGTCATGAGATTGTCTGATAGGATTAGGCCTTTGATTATTATTTTTCTGAAAACTCTTCCTTTTGTTAGAATTTCTGCCAGGTTCATTAGTTTTCAAACTGTGTTTTGGTTTGGCCTTTAGAGTTTGTTTCTCTGGTATGACCTTCTCATGAACAACTTTAGTACCAGAAGTACTAGCATGGCAAATGGGGCTCAGAGTCTGTGGTATTATGACCTTTTTAGCTTTAGCAGCTTGGGTGCTAGGCCTTACAGAAGGCTCACCAGACTCTGGTTCAACATATCCAAGACCAGAGGTGAAATTATGAGAGTCACCAATATTCTTCATGGAAGATTGCATCTTCAGAAGACTATTATATTTACTCTCAAGTTCCTCAATGTCTCTTATTCTTTTCAGAAGAGACTCATTTTCAGCTTTCAGTCTATCTCTTTCCTCAGTTAAGAGATTAAGTTTACACTCAGTCTCTTTCCTTAGATCAGAGATATCAACTTTCAGCCTACTGTTCTCATCTTTAACAAAAGAATAAGTGGCTTGGATAGTTTGGAACTCTTCCCAAAATGATGACATTGGATCATCATTTAAGGCTGTGCCTACCGAAGAGGAAATAGAATTAGAAGTAGAGCATACCTCATCATCTGATTGTGCCATGAGGCAGAGGTCTTCAGTTTCTGCATCCAAGCAGCAGAATGCTTCATCAGAGTCAGAGTCTGAGCTGGACTCTGATTCAGAGAGTGGATCTCTCTCAGCTTGCTCTGAGACGAATGCTCTTCTTCTTCTGTGTTGATCATCTGGTTTCTTTTCTTCTTCATGTCCTTGCTTCTTGGACACTCTTGGATAGGGGCAGTTTGCTTTGAAGTGCCCAGGTTGTCTGCAGTTATAGCAGAGGTACTCTCCATTGCTTTCAGAGGACTTGGTCTTCTGATGTGGTCTTCTGATGGAAGATGGACTCCTTCCATCTTTCTTCATAAACTTCTTAAACTTTCTGGCAAAAGCAGCCATATACTCATCAGATAACAGAGTAGAAGGGTCAAAGTCACTTACCTTTGAGGTGCTAGCAGTGAGAGCAGTGGTGGTCCTCTCATCAGGAACTTCTTCCTTCTCTTCATGCATCTCAAACTCATAAGCCTTGAGATCAGAGATGAGTTTCTCAGTGGCATAAGTCTTGATGTTCTTGCTTTCCTGGACTGCAATCACCTTCATCTTCCAAGCTGAAGGCAGTCCCCTGAGGATCTTCATGTTGACCTCTTTGATGGTGAGCTCCTTCCCAAGCTCAGAAATCTCACTGATGAGAATCAGCAATCTCTCATGCATCTTAGCAATGCATTCTTCTGGTAGGAGTTTGAAGTCATCAAACTTCTTCATTGCAATGGTCAGCTTGTTGTCCCTTTCTTGTTCATCTCCTGCTCCAATCTCATCCAGCTTATCCCAGATTTCTTTGGCAGTTTTGCACTTCTTGATTCTGTTGAAGTATCTTTCATCAATAGCCTTGTAAAGGATGTCCTTGGCTATATTGTCCAGGTTGTACTGCCTTTTCTCTTCCTTGGTCCATTCTGACCGGGCTTTCTCAATCATCTGGGGCTGAGAGTTATCAATAGAGTGAGCAGGATTGATCTTCATGAACTGGATAAAGGGTCCATTCTCCAAGACTTCCCACATTTCATCATGTAGGGCACATAGATGTGCCTTCATTCTGATCTTCCAATCATCATACTTCTGATCTGTGAACATCAGATGCTTGGCAAGAGAGTTATCCATGATAACAATTAAATAGAGACTAAGAACAAGTGGATCTTTGTTCAGAGAGTAACCTAAAAGATTACAAGAACAAGGAGGCTCTGATACCACTTGTTGGTCCCGTTTAATATGGTAACCAGTCTAGAGGGGGGGGGGGGGGTGAATAGACTGGTTGGTTTTTCAACTTTTTCTCAAAGTCAAAACTGACTTATCAGAGAAGGTCTGATTCTGTTGACAGAGAAAGGCTGGTTCTGATATCAGAACTGGCCTTGGCAGCGGATTCTGATCTGTCCGGGTAGCCTCAGAAAAATACTAAGGCAAATGCCTTTCTGATAACTCTGAAGACAAGATCTGCTGAACACAGATTCCAAGTCTTAGAGTTAATCAGTTAATATCCTAAGTGCAGAAATATAAATTGCAGTAAAGTAAATGACACCGGATATTTTATAGTGGTTCAAGGAACAACTCGTTCCTCTAGTCCACTGTTCCACTAGCTTTGAAGTAGATCAGTTACAAAGCTAATTCCTAGCACTTAAGAAGCACTCCTCGTCTTCTTCAAGCCTAGATGCCACCCAGGATGCAATTCCACGTCCTGATGGCTGATCCTTTCACTCAGCTTCCCGGAAGTATCACCACTTCACTACTGCAGTTACTTGGACGCCCTTCTTTTCAGAAGATCCTTTGAAAAACAGAGTTTTTCCTCCAACTTGCTTCGTTACAAATGATGTTTGATGAAGTTCTTGAAGAGTTGAAGAACAGGATGAACTTTGCTTGTTTGTTGGGGATGAGAGATTTGGAGTTTGAATCTTCCCAACGTAAGCTTGTCTTGTTGAAGGTTGTAGAGTTTGAATCTCAAGAGAGCTTGAATGATGAAGTGTAAGAGTTGTAGCAAAGTTGTTTTTCAGTTCTTCGGTATGTAGCTTATATACGGAGGTTGTCTGCCCGTTGGAGGAGGAGACAACTGCATTGAATGCGCGTACAGTTGACTTGACCGCCGTTTTGGAAGGTTTCTATTTTTATAATATATCTTCCCGGATTCCTTGGTCAATCATTTGCAATCAATCCTTCAGCGTATCAGGCTCATTTAATGTGCATTAAATGCTTTCCTTTCATGCACAGTCTTGTAGCCGTTGGATGTTTTTACCCGTTAAATTCATAGCTGTTGGATGTTGCTTGAAATCTTCTAAGTGTTAGTCGGGCTCTGATCAGGCTCTTCTGATATGTTGGATTCTGATGGCTATCTGATGAGTTGAGTTCTGATGGTCTTCTGACTGAACTCTGACTCTGACTCTGATAGGTCCGCTGATGAGTACCTCTGATCTGTAGTTCTCATCGGCTATCAGATGTTCAAGTTTATCAGCAACTCTCATAGGTGCAACTCTGATGGACTTCTGGTAAGAGAACTCTGATGGAGCAGTTCTCATAGAGCAAGTCTGGTAGAGCAGTTCTGATGCACTTCTGATCTGATCCAAAATAGAGCAACTCTGATCGTCGACTACACTAATACTTACAATTGAAAATTCTAATACATAAAATCTAATTTGGGGGTACTCTATCTTTCTAATCCTATAGCATCATCAAAATCTAATTACATTTATTCCTTACATCCCGGCCTATTACTGCTCAGGAGCCCAAGATTTACGTAGTACGGAGCCCAATCAGTGAGGCCCATTTTAGCCTACCAGGCCTGTTTCGGCCTTTGGGCCCATTTCGGCCCGTTAGGGTGGAGAGCCCCCCTTCCCCCTTTATCTATAAATAGGAGGAGTTCCCTCCTTATCAAGGACCCCCCTTCTTCTTCTCCCTCCTCCTTCTTAGTTAACTTGCAAGACTCCATTAATGGGAGCTCAAAATGTACTATGTAATGGTGAGGAGAGTCCTAATGAGAAAGAGAGGGCTTGGACATTAGCCTAAAAAGTCCCGTGTTTTTCTCCCTTTCGGGTTTCAAGTAAAAAGAGCTTGTTCATACACATTTATACATATATTTATGACCGGGCTAAACTTGCAAGTGTATAAGTGCCGATATAGTAATAAATTCCGGTAAAATACCGGGTCGAATCCACAGGGAAACATTGTTTAATTTAGTCCGAGAGTAGATGACTTTAAATAAATAAATGAGTAAAGTGCAGGGATTTTGAGTTGTGTGTTGTTGTGAAAACAACAACTTGGTTCTTCTTTTTAATTTTCAGAGATATAACTTAAATTAATTTGATTAAAGTGATTGATAACAACAACTAAGGCTTCGGGAATCACTTAAATGCTTTAATAGGGTTGAATATTAGTTCTTTACCAACAATTATGAATACGATGTCGCTAATATATTCTCAACTCCGGTTAAGGCAGCGAGAGCGTGGTTTTCGTTACGTCTAAGTCCCGTTACGACTTACATTCATCTACCGAAACCCCGTTGAATATCAAGACATCACACCCGTATCATATAATACCGGATATATTTCTATTCTCGGTAATATATATGTTTATCCTTTAATGTTCATAGTTTAGACCTCAACGTTAATTGCAAGCATAAACTAAGTTTAACATACTTTTATGTTGTACACCATAGTCATAAACAATCAAAATGTAAAAGATAAATCACAATTTATTGGTTTAGAACTTTTATCAAACACCTAGTGGGCATAAAAGTTCATCCCTAGGCTTAGCTAAGAACTTAGCCTCTAATGCTCATATTAATTACAAAAGTGTAACTAAGAACAATGAAATACTATAACATACAAGAAATAATACCTAGAACCAATTGTAGAGGAGAGAAATAGCTTCTTCTTCAACACTTCAAGAGAATGCAAAAGTAAAATATAAAAAGTGAATTTTTTGCTCCAAAGATGGAATAATCATCTTGTTTGATGAATTGAGGGCTTTATATAGGTTAAAGATTGGCATCTTTTAGTCTATTCAAGCCCAACAATTAGGCATGGGAGATATATTTGCTACACGTCTTTGCGTTTTATGCAGAATCAGACCTAACCGGCACCGGTTTCAGACCTGACCGGTGCCGGTTCTTCACTGGGCGCAGAAATAGCTGAAAAAATGGCCTAACCGGCGCCGGTTATAAGGGCAACCCGGCGTCGGTTAAGCTACTGGATAGTGATGTGCGAAAGAAACCGACGGACCGGCGCCGGTTATGGGGTGGACCGGCGCCGGTTAACCCCATTTTGTGTTTTCTTCGCTTTTTGCTCCGTTTGACGCCCGTTGTTGACCCCGAGGTGCCGGTTCTTGGTCCTCTTTTTCCCATTGACTCTCGTTTCTTCATTTTTGACGTCTAAGTGCGGTTTCGCTCAAATTGGGATTTTTATCTGTTTTATCTTTGAATATTTGTACAGATAATCATAATTACCTATATAAAATATAGATAATTGTTGTGCTTATCAAAATCCCCCACACTTGAGCGTTGCTAGTCCTCGAGCAATGTTGTCACCTTGTATGCTTTGGGTTAGTTTCAACAGAGACATATACAAAAATAAATTTAATTTTAAGGTAGGTAAAAATGACATATAAACTCTTTTATCATTCTCGGTCCAAAAACCAATTTTTTTTTTCTAATTAAACACAAAAAGTATCATTTAGATTTAGAAAACTACTAATACTCTTGAGAATAAAGGAGTGGTTTGTGACTGACTGAGTGAGATGGCTTTTTGGAGTTTTTGACTTTTCAGTTGTATGAATCAATTGAACTTCCTAGTTGAGATCATGAGTTATTTAGCTAATTTTTGTCTCTTTTCCATTTTTCTCTTTGCTCCATTGTACAGATGATTATGATTATGAAGATTGATGTACTTGCTGCCCGAGGGTTCCGCTAGTTGCACACGTTTGATTATTTATTGTTGTTTAAATTTGTAACCCATAAACTTGTTCAAATTTTATCCGATGGCTATTTGAATTTATGGTGGATAGCCTGTGCACTCAATCATATACGGCTTCCTATTTTTACCGTTTTTCACCCCTCCAACCTTCTTCTCGCTTCTCTCCTCCGTCTTTACTTTCTCTTTCTCCCCTTTTGTCGTTCCAACGCAGGAGCTACAAGGACAACGGAGGTCTTCCACGAACGAAGTCATCCACGAACGGAGGGCATCCACCAGGTACAGTACGCCTCAACTCTTTCTCCCTTCTTTCATTCTGCTTCATTTTTTGCAATCCTGTTCGATCGATGCTTCTCTCCTATGTCTCTACTTTCTCTTCCACCCTTTTTTTCGTTTCCAACGCAGGAGATGTAGGTCTTCCATGAACGGAGGTCATACACGAACGAAGGTCATCCACCAACAGTGCGCCTCAACTCTTTCTCCATTTTTTCCTTTTTCTTTCACTCAATCATATACAGCTTCCTATTTTTACCGTTTTTCACCCCTCCAACCTTCTTCCCGCTTCTCTCCTCCGTCTTTACTTTCTCTTTCTCCCCTTTTGTCGTTCCAACGCAGGAGCTACAAGGACAACGGAGGTCTTCCACGAACGAAGTCATCCACGAACGAAGGGCATCCACCAGGTACAGTACGCCTCAACTCTTTCTCCCTTCTTTCATTTTGCTTCATTTTTTGCAATCATGTTCGATCGATGCTTCTCTCATATGTCTCTACTTTCTCTTCCACCCTTTTTTTCGTTTCCAACGCAGGAGATGTAGGTCTTCCATGAACGGAGGTCATACACGAACGAAGGTCATCCACCATGAGCGGACTCTTTACTTTCTCTTTCTCCCCTTTTGTCGTTCCAACGCAGGAGCTACAAGGACAACGGAGGTCTTCCACGAACGAAGTCATCCACGAACGGAGGGCATCCACCAGGTACAGTACGCCTCAACTCTTTCTCCCTTCTTTCATTTTGCTTCATTTTTTGCAATCCTGTTCGATCGATGCTTCTCTCCTATGTCGCTACTTTCCCTTCCACCTTTTTTTCGTTTCCAACGCAGGAGGTGTAGGTCTTCCATGAACGGAGGTCATACACGAACGAAGGTCATCCACCAACAGTGCGCCTCAACTCTTTCTCCATTTTTTCCTTTGTCTTCATTTTTTAATTTTTTGTTATTTATTTCTTATTTCGTGAATAATACTTTGTATATCTTGTCACGTTGAATTGATTATTTTGTGTTAGGGTGAAGATTTGTAATGTTTATTATTGTAAATTTAGTCCAATTATTCTATGTCATTAGTATGTCCATAACATGTTTGTTGAAATGATTCAATGAATTTTTTTTATATCATCTTATTTGATGATTTTTGTTTTATAAATTTCCAGTTTAAATTGTGCATAAAATTGTTTGTTTGAGTACTTTATTTTATTGTTTTGAACTTGCTATGTTTATTTTTGAAGTTTTAGTGTTAAATTTGAGTGAAATGAGGGTTTTAGCATTGGAAGCATTGCTTGGATGCTCTCTTATCCTCATGAAGAGTAAAAGAGGGTTGCACTTCTCATGGCAGTGGCACAATTTGAATGGAGCCTCAATCGGTCCTCTAATTGAGGTTGCCATAGACTCTGAATACAGTGGCACTTCACATCCTCCATCTTTGGTGGTTCTATAGTCCTTTTCAACTTTGAGTTTTATTTTGGACTTTTAATTTTCATTGGATACATAGTAGTTGAACACCTGATACGAAATGTCTGTCATAGACAAATGTTATCTGTTAGATAGAACTCTTTAAAACATCATATAAATAATTTCAAGTGGCGTGGATCATGACTGAAGCTATTTCTGTCATGTTAGATTCACTAAAGTAAATGGCTTCTATTTTGAACTAAAATTCTTCTCATTTGGGTCGTTTGTTTAACTACTATGTGTACTTATCACGAAAGGATTATAATGATTGAATATACTGTAAATACAATTCCAAAGTAGATACATTTATTTAGCTCTTGCTGTTATTTTTTAAATAAAATTTGCTTATAGTAGTTTTATTTCACGATTTTTTTAAACATTTCTTGCTAGTTCAGATTGCCTTGAGTTTTGCAATATATAGATTTTATAATCCAATATGTTATCCTGTTATGAAATTCTTATGGAATTTCACAATTGACTATTGCAGTGCACTTTCCCTGGTGTATACATGTTGGAAGTTTGTTGAATGAAGATTTTTATGAATCTAAAGAGGCACATTTGACTATGACAACCTTGTTTTGTTTGTCATTATGGATTTTGCATTTTTCGCAAGATGATGAATGCACTTGACAGAAATAAAAGAGGCTCTTTTCAAGAAAGAGAGTTTTTTTTAGCAAATTTTAACTAATATTTCACTCTTGTAATTAGTTATATTGTATAGCTAATGTTCTTGTAGAGGCGAAATAAATGAATGTACAATGTGATTATGCTAATGAAGGATTGAAGTTATCTTTATGTATGTATTGGCCACCTATTTGTCTGTATGGTATGGATTTCATTATGAGAGACAGACAATTAATTCAACAAGACAGACAATAATTCTGCCAAATAGACATTTCATTAAATGAAATTATCTATTTAATTGACAAGTGTCCCGTCACAAACATTAGCCACTAGAACGAGCTAGTATGCTATGTAGAATTTTGTCTACCAGAGAATATTTGTTTGTGCCAGACATTTCGTGTCAAGGCCTAGCAAAAGAGTTTTGTCTAACAGACAATATTTGTCTGTGCCAGACATTTCGTGTGAAGGCCTAGCAAAAGCGTTTTGTTTAAGAGACAATATTTGTCTGTGCCAGACATTTCATGTCTGAGCCTGATAAAATAATTCTATCTAACAGACAACATTGGTCTGTGCCAGACATTTTGTGTCTAGGCCTGTTAGAAGAGTTTTGTGTAACAGACAATATTTGTCTGTGCCAAACATTTCATGTCTGAGCCTGATAAAATAATTCTATCTAACAGACAATATTTGTCTGTGCCAGACATTTTGTGTCTAGGCCTGTTAGAAGAGTTTTGTCTAATAGACAATATTTGTCTGTGCCAGACATTTCATGCCTGAGCCTGATAAAAAATTCTATCTAACAGACAATATTTGTCTGTGCCAAACATTTTGTGTCTAGGCCTGTTAGAAGAGTTTTGTCTAACTGACAATATTGTTGTGTGCTAGACGTTTTAAATTTGTGTCTGGTAGAAGAATTGTGTCTAACAGAAAATAATACAATCTGCCCAAACATTTCATGTCTGGAACTGGCAAAACAGTTCAGTCAAACAGACAATATTTGTCTGTGCCAGACAATAAATGTTTGACAATTTTTTTATTGGTCACAGACCATTGTTCTAAAACTCGCTAGGCGCTAGTCGGGCAGTTGGGGGCGCCTAGGCGGCCGACTAGGCCGATTTTTTGGCCGACTAGGCCGATTTTTGACCGACTAGGCCTCTACAATTAGGGCCGCCTAGGCCGCCTAGACCGATTAATCGGTCCGACTAGGCCGATTTTTAGAACAGGGTCACAGACTATTCACTTCAAAAATCGAAAAAACTTGTATGTACACAGTTTGTATCAAAGAGACTAATTTATTCATAAATCAATTTGTATGTTTCCAAACAAAATATTTCTATCAAGTAAACATGTCGCTAGCTATCATATCATGTAATTACCAAAACTATCTATCAAAGTTTACAACATCACAATATCACATACACTATACATTAGTGCAAGTGCACACACAATGTATTGTAACAATGAATTTAAAATGACATAAATTTATTGCTAGTCTTTAATTATGACCCCCCCACTCATCGTTTTCTTCAATGGAGGTTCCTATCATTGTTTTCATCTGATCTTGTGTTTTGCCTTGGAAGTAGACATAGTGATGTGAAAACCATTACTTTCTAGCTGTTGTCCCCGACTGTTATTACCTCTTCCTCACCAAACTGTAAAGAATCAACACAAATTAGAATAAATAGTAGGATAACTATGAATAAGAATATGACTAATATGAATAGAATTATTTACACGCTTTAAAGGGTATTTGGTCAAACATTGAAAAAACGTATCCTGACCTCATTTGATTTAGCCGAACTTTTATTCTTTGTTCTGGAATCTTTTAAGCCAAACTGAATTACATGGAAAATCATGATTCAATAGAAATCACAATTGCATAAATCTGTAATGAACTTCCTTCCTGGTAGTTTCATAGCTGTTGAATGTGAATGGGCACAATCAAATAGTATAATGATGAACACGGGCACCATGAAATCCATTAAAATACCTTCAGTACTTCAAGTTCAACTTTTGTAATTTCACGGCCATTCATGTAAACATTTGTGTTTCCATTACTTGCATCCAGCTCAAGCTTCCCTCCTACATTCAGTTTAGAGCTTATAAGCTTCCCTTCTTGCCTTCCTGTCCATCCAAAATAATCACAATGATCTCAAAAGTTTTCATAGCTATAACAAACACACTAGAACTGCTTGTGTTTGATTTTTACACAGAAACTATAAAGGCAAAAAAATATAATGTGAATAGCAGAAACTAAATTTCAAAGATGAGTTTCTCAAAACCTTACACCCAAACAGAGGCTTACATGAGAAGAAACTAAGTTCATGGACAACAATTCCAACTTTATCTTTTCCCATACTTTTCCTTTTATCTCAATTAATTTGTATCTGTCTTACCAACAAAAAAGCCAATTTGTAACTCTTTTGGTAAAAAACCTAAATTCACTAAGTTTTAACACTAAAAATTCAAAATTAAAAACAGCAGATTTATAATAGTAAAGTAAAATAGTAAAACAAAATGACACTACATGTTTTATATTGGAAAAGTACAAAACAAATCTAAAATCCATAAAAAATGAGATATCATAAATAAAAAAATTTCATTGAATCATTTCAACAAGCATATTATGAGCCTAGAAATGACATAAAATAGTTGGACAAAATTTTCAATACTAAACATCACAAATCTTTCACAATGACACAAAATAATCTAGTATTCAATATTACAACACTGCTGGAAGCAAGTGGAGATAACAAAACATGAAGATTAAAGAAATAAGGAAGAAAGTGGCCTACTGGAAGCAAAGAGTGCAGGACAGAGATGTGGAAGAGATTGCAGATGGTGCAGACCTTCACTGCTTTTACACTTGGCATATTACTCCGATAACCCTTAAAATCCTCTCTACGGGGACGCCTCTTGTGGTGGACTGGTGGTGGCTACTTGTTCGAACTAGGGCTGAAGGGCGGTGAATTCGGGCGGTGACTAGTGGTGGTCAGACTGGTCTGGAGCCGGGCTAGGTCTGGGAATACGCAGACCGGGCGAGGTTATCTACTATAGAGCTTTGAGAGATTGAGCTCAGCGAGAAAGAGGGGGGCGAACAGATTGTACGAGAAGGGAGGGGAGTAGCTGTGAAGGAGAGGAGGAAAAAAGTTGGGGTAAAAATATGGGGAAAATGGTGTGCAAAGGTGTACACAATTTGTGCTAGCAAAATTCATCATGTATAGGTTGAGTGTCGCGGTGACACACCTGTTTTTATACTCCGTATTAAAGTCTTCCGCTGTACTCTAAATATGTTTTATTATAAAGATGTTTTCATTTCAAAATGTTATTTTATTTTGGTGGGAAAAATGGGGATGTTACATGCCACTTGGAGTGGCGGCTTTCATACGCAGTATAAAAGCCGTCACTCCAAGTGGCGGCTCTTGTGAAGCTATACAAGAGTCGTCACTTGGAGTGACGGCTTTCCTTAACTGTGATTAACTTCAAAAGTATTTTGGAAATTATTCTTAACCCGACAGTAATTTGGGAATTATTTATTTAATTAACATTATTTCGGGTAAAATCTCGTGTTTTCGTGAAAATCAATATTTTGTTTGCTGCAATCCATATTTGACGAGTTACATCTGATGGTTATATCTTTCTCGGGAAACTTCCCGAAAATGGGACTAAAAAAGTTCAAAAATCCCAAAATAGGACTGTCATGTTTTTATTTCCAAAATAAAACTAATTATTGCCAAATTTGGAAAATACTGTCATGTTTGAAGCCTGGTACTGTCAAAACATGGCAGTAATTAGTCCTAGTTTGGGAATAAAAACATGAAAGTCCTATTTTGGAATTTTCAAACTTTTTTAGTCTTATTTTGGTAATATCTCATCTTTCTCCTGTGAGAGCCCCGGCTCAGGGTGGGCTGCTCCGACTCGAAAAACAGAACACACTCGTTTATAGTACGACGAGTAGATTTTAACTGCGGTTTCAGTCAAACAGTAATCTTTCAAGAGATTTATCGAGGCAGAGGCGGCAGATATGGAGGTGCAGTGGCTTCTGTTGTTCCATGGCCTGGTGACCCTTCTGGTGGTGGTGTCCTTCCTCTGTGGCCAATGGCCTATCTTCGACGACACTTTCGTTCAACGAATCCACATCTTCCTCACTTTTGGAGCATATGATCATCTCCGGTGACTCTCTCTCTTTATGTTGACACACATCCACACACATGTACACCGGAATTTGAGCCTGTTTCTGAGCTTTTGCTTCGTTGCCTATGCCGGAATTTGATTCAGGCGATTAATTGCTGCTATTTGTGGCCGCAAAGGCAGCCAAGCCCTCCTCTCCCTTGAGTACTACTGCTGCGATCGTCCTAACCCTACTTTACAGGTCCACAATCTCTTGCCTAATTTACCCAATTAATTCTTCATTGCTCGGGATATGGTAAAACTAAAGTTTCTTATCCTGCAATTCCTTTTGCTTATTCGATGAATCCAGTGATATCAGTTAAGAACTCTCATATAATATCCTTACATATTCTACGGAACATGGCCTCTAATTTTCATTCTTATTTTGTTTCTCAATTTCTTTTCCATATGAATAAAGTTATTGAGCCTGTTTTTTTCTTACTAGCTTATTTTTTATAGCTTATTTTTTAATCTTTATTTTCTTTCTTTTCCTTTTGGTGGTGATATCATGTATCGATTCATGTTAGCCTACCCCAATATCTCCCCAATATCTTTTGGGACTAAGGCTTGGATGTTGTTGTTATGAATAAAGTTACTACAGAGAAGTGTGTTTCTCAAACACACAAAATTACGTGAATAAGTTTACCTATGCTCAATCTTTTCACAATAAACACAAATGATGCACGCAAAGAAGTATTCCAAAATTTGTAGTTGGTTTGTGCGTGTAGGCTGTTATCTCATACTTTGATAAGACAATTAATTATTTTGTTATCTCAATTTGTTCATAACTGATGTGGTGTAGTTCTTAATAAAGGAATTATAAAATGTCTAGAATATATAACTTTAATATGATTGAATAAAGCAAAATGACTCATTTAAGTGTCCGCGCTTCTTTGTTATGAAGCAACCGTCAGTCCATGCAATTTTTGACGCAATTTTCGTCTCAGGTCATGAGGTCATCCTGAATCAGTCTCTATGTGCTTTAGTACAAGGGTAATACTATGTATACCCGACCCCCTTACCCCACCGTAGGTGAGAGCCTTTGCGGCACTGAGGTAATGTTGTTGTATTGTTGTTATATTAATTAGTCTTTACATCAACTACATTTGTTTGCTGTGTTCCTTTTTAAATAGAAATTTAATATTTAATGTTTCAACTTTCAACCGTGCAATGCACAGCCGACGTATTCATCATCATCATCATCATTACCCCAGTGCCACAAAGGCTCTCACCTACGATCGGTAATGGGGGGTCGGATGTACGTAGCCTTACCCCTGTACTAAAGCACAAAGAGACTGTTTCCAGATGACCCATAGTGAAAATCATGTCGAAAACTGTTTCCAGAAGCGCAAACAGTTTGGTCAGTCATTTTACTTTATTCCATCAATCCATCATATTCCCAAGCCAAAAAATAGTGATTCTTTTGGCTCCATTTCAAATGATGGAAAAACTGGCGTATTGCCAAGTGAAAATTTTAATTATTCCTTGTGCTCTTTACTTTTTGAGTTCGGTTTTCATTTACATCATTTGAAATGTGACTTTTTTCTATGATTTTACTTTGAATGTTAAAAGAGCTTATCTGGTATATCTTTGAATTCTCAAATGCAGCTATTATACATGGCAATACTTGGAGTTACTTATTATATTATTGTACAGACCACATTCCAGTACATTCCTGGTTATTACCTTGGTTCAATGCACAGGTAGGGAGAAGTTTTTCTTTTTCTCATTTTCTTGTCGAAGTATATGCATCAATTTAGGTATGTGTGTGTATGTGTGTGTATTTATAAATATATATACATAGGTGCACTTGTGAGTGTGTATTATCTGAGAATGAATATGCATTTGTAAGGGTGTATGAATTTCCATCAACTTTATGTGCTTTTGCAGGTATACAAGCTTGTTAGCAGTTGCTGTGGGTGCTATACTGTTTTTATTATCTAGCTTTTCTGACCCGGGAACTGTCAAGGCTGATAATGTATCTCAGTATCTCTCTGCTTATCCTTATGACAATATCATTTTCTCAGAGAAAGAATGCACAACTTGCAAGATCCTAAAGTGAGTTCTTTTTTCTGCCCCAAAGTTTTAGAAGCATTGCTGGCCAATCAGGATTCTATTTCCATTCAAATATTAGTTTTGTGAGTCAACTGTGAAATCTTCTGATTCAATTGAATCTTTCAGGATTAGAAACACATTTTTTAAAAACTTAGATTGCAATCATGACACTTTCAATGGAAGTAGTGGTTTCCTCTGAAAATAACTCAAATTATCCGAACTCAAAAATGAATTTTGAAGAATATTTATTAGAAACTAAAATTTTTATAGGAAAGTGTCAGCATTTGATAGTCACACGACTGAATATTTTAAAAGAGTCTATCAAAGGAGGAATAAGAGGGTAGTTAGTCACTTACCAAATTAGTTAGTTAACTGTTGACATCCCTGCGTGGATGATAACTGTAAATAGAAGGTGGATAGCTAAATAAAGCAGACTGTTATTTCAGTTGAGACTTGGCTTGGAGATTAGGCATCTCGAATTGTCTGTGGCACTGTCTACTTTCTATGATCTATCCCTACTTCAGTAAACACTTGTTGATCTGTTCTTAGATTGATTGCTCTAGATTTTCTACTGTTCTATATCGATCTCTACCGGTTTTCTATCATTGGTATCAGAGCAATCGTCTCTGGTGATCGGAAGTGTCGTCGCTACACCAGAAGATTTTCGTTCCAGTTGTGAATGGTCTGGACGAGAGCCTAGATGGAGCATCGCATGGAAGCCATGGAACGTAGCAAGGTCGCGATGGAAAAAAGTACGATACAAATAAAAATGATGTTGGAAAACATCGCTGGAAGGATGGATGCTATGAGCGAAGAGTTTCAGACAAGAGGAAGATCGCGATCTCATCATCGTCACCATACACGACCTCGAACAGTCCAACAGCCCCAGGAGGTATTTCCGAACACTCGATTTCTATTAATCACCGGCGGCATGATGAGTATAATAGATTTCCGGTTCACACGGGTAGAAAGGTTGATCTACCTTTGTTTAATGGGGATGGGGCTTATAACTGGCTGGTGAGGATGGAGAGGTATTTTAGATTAAATCAAATTGTGGAAGAGGATAAGGTTGAGGTAACTGTAGTAGCTATGGAGGATAGAGCTCTCAACTGGTTTCAATGGTGGGAACACCAAACGGAGGAGAAGAATTGGGAGACTCTTAAGGAGTCAGTCATTCGTAGATTCCAACCTATTTTAATGCAAAATCCCTATGGACCTATGTTGGGTTTGAAACAGACAGGAACTCTGAGAGAATACAGAGATGAATTTGAGATGATAATAGCACCTCAGAAGACTATGGATAAAGAGATTTTGAGAGGAGTCTTTATCACAAGACTTAAAGAAGAGATAAAAACTGAACTGAAACTGTATATTCCCAGATCATTATCTGAAATTATGGACAAGGCTTTATTGATTGAACAAAGGAATGAAGCTTATATTCGAAAAGGAGGAAAATTCTGAAAATGAAGAAGAAGATGAGGTGGTTGATTTCATAGCACCAGCAGAAGAAGAAATCATTATGGAATCTAAATCCATGCAGTTATCCCTTATGAGCAAAGAGGGAATACCTTCTATGAGGGCTTTCAAGGTAAAAGGGTGCCTAAAATGGGGTCAAGGAAAAGAACCGGTAGATAAACTGAAAATACCCTATAACACCATTTTAGGGTATAAGGTTCAAATTAGTAATGCAGAGAGAATTTCTAACAATGGTAGGTGTGAAAAACTGACCTTATGCTTACAAGATACTGAAGTACAGTAGGATTTCTACATCCTGAATTTGGGAGGTACTGACTTGGTACTTGGAATGGAATGGCTGACTAATTTAGGAGATGTAGAGGTCAATTTCCAAAAGCAAAGTATCAAATGGAGGGCCCAAGGGTTGAATAAAATGATTCAAGGGGATCCTCACCTAAATTCCCTTGAGGTTTCCTTGAAAACCATGACTCAGATTATACAAGATGCTGGTGATGGATACTTTGTTTTTTGTGAAGGACAATCAGTTGACTTGAAGGAAGATAAAGTGCTGGATGAAACCTGGAAGCAAATTTTGGCAGACTTTCCAGAAGTGTCTCAGCCTATGAAAAATTTACTGTCTTATAAGACATGTGATCATGCCATCAACATCCAAGAAGGAGCTTGTATCCCAAATATAAGGCCCTATAAGTATCCACAATATCAGAAAACTGAGATAGAAAGGATTATAAAGGAGATGCACAATGATGGGATCATAGATACATAAATCGCACAAACAACCACGAATTGCGTTCCGAACGCCGCGCACTCAAACGTGGTACAAAAGCGCTCCAAACGCTACTCGGATTGCTCTGTAAAACGCTGCTGCAGTGTTAGATACCTAACTAATTTCAGAGTGATTCAAGAAAGTAGATGAAGAAGAGAAGATTGCGTAACAATGGCAGTAGTCGTATAACAGAAAAGAGAGAGAATTACAGGAGGCAGTTTAAAGAGAGCCACTCTCCATGTCCCAAGTCCCAGCCCAAATGAAACAATACAAGCCTGCCTTATTCTGTTATTAGCTATCTATTTATAGAACCCCCCTTTCCGTTTCCCCACATACAATTCCAGCTACTTCTTATTTCTTCTAACATACACTTTGTCAACGTAGCTAATATTATTATTAAATGGCTGGCTACCAGTGGCTCTAACATGCAGTCGTTCGCGATCGCTTCCCAAATCGTTCCCTATCGCTAGCCAGGTCATTCCTAAACGTAACTGGAGTCGCCCGCGACGACATACAGGTCGCGCTAAATCGCGAATCTGAACAGTAATGATAGCAGCCTTACCAATCGCGAACAGTCTCGTCGTTTCATGTGCAGTTAACATAAATATGCACGTTCGTTTGAAACTTTGAAACGAGTTGGCCTCTTCGATTTCCACTCCAGGTAATCAAATTATGAAGTACGAACTCTTCATTCTCGTCGTTTCCTGTGCAGTTAACATAAGTAGGCGTGTTCATTTTTTTCGTGGAATATTTTTTTTTCTATTTTGTTTAATGCTATGACTTATGATTATGAAATCTGTTTTAGATTAATGTTATGACTTATGAAATCTGAAATTCAATTTTATTTTATTACTAAAATATAGGGTACACCGTACCGAACATGTGGTACAGCGTACCGCAATGAATCTATCCCCCTTCGAACCGGATACGCTAGATCTAGCGAGCCGCGTTCCCGTACCGAAGCGTTCCGCGAACTATGTGACTAATAGTCCCCACAGTAGCCCAATATTGCTAGCAAAGAAGAAAGGTGGTGGGTGGAGGTTTTGTGGAGATTACAGGGCATTAAACAAGATTACCATCCTTGATAAATTTCCTATACCTATCATAGAAGAGCTTGATGAATTAGGAGAGGCCATTATTTTTTCTAAATTGGATCTGAAGTCTGGGCACCATCAGATCAGGATGGAGTGTGATAGGCACAAGACAACTTTTAGAACTCATGAGGGGCATAATGAGTATTTGCTGATGCCTTTTAGTTTGATAAATGCTCCCTCTACCTTTCAGGCACTAATGAACAAGTATTAAGGCCTTTTTTTAGAAAGTTTGCCTTAGTATTTTTTTGATGATATTCTGGTCTATAGGAAGTCTAAAGAGGAACACGAGGAGCAATTAAGAAGAGTTCTATCAGCCCTAAGGAGAATCAATTGGTGATAAATGTGAAGAAGTGTTCTTTTGGACAATCTTAGTTTGTGTATTTGGGTCACGTTATATCCGGAGAAGGAGTTTCACGACTTTCAGCTAATCCAACCAAAATAGAAGCTATGCTCAACTGGCCAGAACCTAAAGATTTGAAGGGATTGAGAGGTTTTCTTGGACTGACCGAATATTTTAGAAATTTTGTAAAAGGATATAACAAGATTGCTTTTCCCCTTGCACAACTTCTTAAAAAAGACAGCTTCTACTGGGATTTGAAGGCAGGCCAGGCTTTTGAAGCATTGAAAAGAATCATGACTACTCTGCCAGTAGTAGCAACACCTGATTTCAACAAAATGTTTGTTGTGGAAACAGATGCATCTGGGATAGGCTTGGGAGCAGTCCTAATGCAAGATGGTCCTAATGCAAGATGGAAGGCCTGTTGCTTATATGAGCAAGGAATTATCACCAAGAAATCTGAATAGATCAGTCTATGAAAGGGAACTCATGACAGTTGTCCTAGCAATTTAGAAATGGAGGCCCTATTTGCTTGGTAGAAATTTTGAGGTCCGCACTGATCAGAAAAGCCTGAAGTTCCTTATTGAACAAAGGCTAATGGGGGAGGAACAACATAAGTGGTCATCCAAATTATTAGGCTACAATTTTACAATCAAATACAAGCCAGGAGTGGAGAATAAGGCTGCAGATGGTTTATCAGAAAGAAGGCATTGCAGTCTTTTGTTATTGTCAGTTGTCAGGAATGGGAAGGAATGGGAGGGATTGGAAGAAGAGTTAAGCAAGGATCCTAAATGTCAATTCAGAAGGTGATTTCTTATCCAGATAAATATGATGATTTCCAGATTATTAAGGGTCTGTTATACTATAAAAGGAGGTTGGTGCTACCCAAAGAATCCCCCAGAGTCATCAAAATTTTGAAGGAGTATCATGATTCAGCTTTGGGTGGACATTCTGGGTACTTTAGAACTATGAAGATGGTAGAGAACTTGTTCTACTGGCCTGGTATGAGGAATGATATAAAGAAATATGTTGAGGAGTGTACTACTTGCCAAACCAACAAATATCAGGCCCTTAAACATAATGGTTTATTACAACCATTGCCTATTCCAAGCAGTATCTGGACAAATATCGGTATGGACTTTATTGGAGGGTTGCCTAAGTCTCAAGGGAAAGATACTATCTTAGTAGTTGTTGACAGGTTTACAAAATTTGCTCATTTCACGGCCCTATCTTACCCTTTGAATGTCAAAGAAGTGGCAGAAATATTCACCAAGGAAGTGGTTAAACTACATGGTTTCCCTAAAACCATTATTAGTGACAGGGACAATGTTTTTTTGAGCTCATTCTGGTCTGAACTTTTTAAGATGGCAGGAACTCAACTCAGGTACAACACAACATACCACCCTCAGACTCAAACCAAGCATTCCAGTCCAGCTGGTTGTGAGGTTACCGTGCTTAATGGGAGGTATCGAGTTCGAATCCCGCTAGGCACACAAGGGTGTGAAACTCAATGGAGTGGGTTTCAGCCCTGATTACTCCAGGCTCCCCCCAGCCCCCCTCCCCCAGACCCCCTGGAGTAAACAAAAAAAAAATCAATGAAAAAAAAAAACCACCCTCAGACTGACTAAGGTGGTCAACAGATGCGTGGAGACTTACTTAAGATGCTTAATGGGAAGAAAGCCTAAACACTGGAGTCAATGGCTACATTGGGTTGAATTTTTGTATAAAACAAATTATTATACATCTTTGAAACAAACACCTCACAAAGCATTATTTGGACAAGACCCACTTGCAGTAATTATAGGAGATGTGACATTAACAACTGTGGAGGAAGTGTCTAGACTCACTGCTCGGAGGAATGCTATGTTAGATGAATTAAAAGGGAACCTTGTCAAGGCTCAGCAGCAAGCTAACAAGCATAGAAGGGATGTACAGATGAACATTGGGGATCAGGTGTATTTGAAAATCCAACCTTACAAGCTCAAACTGCCATACATGTCATGGTGTTGCCTAGGCGTCGCCTATTTGCCGACTAGGTGTCCTGGCGCTAGGGAGTTCTCCCCGTCTTTAATCGCCTCGCCAGAAGAAGAATAGTCGCGATAGGCGTCCTCCCGGCATTGCCTAGGCCGTTAGATTAATTGTTTTGTTTAATCTTTTTTAAATTTCGGAGAGGGCTATCATGTCATTTTAGTGTTCTTTCCATCTTACACGTTTCTTTCCAAACCAGTTTTCCATATTATGGCCGCATTAATTTCATTCTTTATATTTTGGAATGTTTCATTAATTTCCATCATTTCCATTCTCCGGTCGAATTCATTTTTCATCTCTTTGTTTTTCTTTATCTTTGCCTTGATCCTTTTATTGTAATTTAAATATTAAAAACTTTTCTCTCCTGCGTTTTCGCATTCGAGAAGTTTGCATCATGGATTGAAAGTTTGCAGTATACATTTCAAAAACATATATGATGTACCCAAAACTCAGTTCAAATGAGAAAATGATCTGAGGAGAGAAATAAGAATGAATCTAGATCGTTATATAGTATTACGTAAATTGAATGTGCATTAGGTGAAGCTGGAAAGTGCATGTAATGAGATTGAAATGTGCATCATAAAGTGCATTACATAATGACATTATGTGAAGTTGAATTTTGCATTAGGTGAACCGAAATGTGCATTAGGTGAAACCGAAATGTGCAGAATAAAATGTATGATGCGGTGACATTTTTTTCCCTTTTATTCTGCACATTTAAATTTTACCTAATGCACATTTGGGTATTACCTTCTATTATGCACAATTCAGTCCCACCTAATGCAAATTTCAGTTTCACCAAATGCACAACTCATTTCACATAATACACCTAGTTTCTCATTTCTCTCCTAGGAGTGCTTTCTCACCGGAAGGGCTCCTGATGTACCCATTTAGATAAAAAAAAATATTCTTTTTTAATAAAAAACTATGCACTTTAACATTTTAAATGTGATTTTTCTTTTATCTAAGAAATTATTAAATTTGGAAAATAATTTACCATGATAGGTGCACAAATTTAATTATTATCTCTAGTGCACATCCATTACATATTGATGCAAAATTAGTATTTAAAAAAGATCTCAATCATTGCACTTTATAGTGTATATTGTGCACAAATATAAATTAAGATATTTAAGTTAAATACTAAGTATATTATAGTGCACTACTAATGCAGTAATGCATAAAATAATGATTCATGCACTATTTAAAAATAGTGGATTCGTAAAGACTATTTAGGAAGCATTTAATGATATAAGTAAATTAAATATCCTAATAATGAGAGAAGAGATAATTATCCTAATTTTTAGGAGAACCACAAACGGTGCAACGGTTTTTCATATTATTTATGACAAAAATACCCTGCTGAGTTAATGACATGGACACGTTCCTTTTACCCAACATTCATGTGGCCGAAAATAACACCTTAATCTACATTTATAATGTCCCTTAGATCATAGATATCTATGGCTTGATTTCATTCTTATTTCTCTCCTGGGACTCCATTCTCACCCGAACCGCTCGTCCACTCCCTACATATTATGGGCCATTTGAAATCATTGGGAAGATCAATTCTGTAGCTTTCAAGCTTAAATTGCCAGAAAACAGTAAAATACACTCTGTATTTCATGTCTCCGTACTTAAGAAAGTGATCTCACATTCTCACCTACTATCTCTTATCAACCTCTACCTAAATGGCTAAATGAAGAATTGGAGCTGCAGGTCACACCTGAGAAAGTGATGGATGTTAGGGTGAATCAAGAAGGAAAGGTAGAAGTTCTGTTACATTGGAAAAATCTACCAAGTTTTGAAGACTCATGGGAACATGTGCAGATGATGAAAAAGCAATTCCCAGATTTTCACCTTGAGGACAAGGTGAATTTCCAGGGAGGGAGTATTGATAGACACGCGACTGAATATTTTAAAAGAGTCTATCAAAGGAGGAATAAGAGGGTAGTTAGTTAGTTAACAAATTAGTTAGCTAACTGTTGACATCCCTGCGTGGATGATAGCTATAAATAGAAGGTGGATAGCTAAATAAGGCAGGCTGTTATTTCGGTTGAGACTTAGCTTGGAGATTAGGCATCTCGAATTGTCTGTGGCACTGTCTACTTACTTTGATCTATCCCTACTTCAATAAACACTTGTTGATCTGTTCTTAGATTGATTGCTCTAGATTTTCTACTGTTCTATATCGATCTCTACCAGTGTTCTATCAGCATTTTGTGGTTTTGTCTTAGGATCAACCTGATTTAGGAATAAACAAATTGAACAGAAGCAAAATAGTAACTAGTGATGGTTCTCCTTGAATTTACAGAACTTTAGAAACACCGCACAGCTTGTTCTGTTTTCCTTGAATCTCACGTATCATTCAGACTTTGAGCCTATAGCATATACTGTATTCACCAACTAGGTGATCACATGATGAGGTGACCTTTTGCATCGCACCTTGTAATTAAGATCGTTATTCCTCCACTGCTTATTCCAGGCCTGCTAGATCAAAGCACTGTAGCATATGTGACCGCTGTGTTGCTCGGTTTGACCATCATTGTGCATGGATGGTTTGTAACGCATGCCATTGGCTATATTGATTTTTATTTTATTTTGTACGTTATTCATGTCTTATTTCTTACTACTCAGAATAATTGCATTGGTGAGAAAAATACAAGATACTTCATGGCTTTTCTTTTCTGGTGAGTAAATAATATTTAATTTATAAATATTAAATTATTAATAATTGGTCTTATTTATTTGTTTGGATTTATGTTAACATTTATCCTCCTTTCGAGACATGTCAGATCTCCTTTTCCTTTATTAATAAAGAGGACCAATGTAATTGGCTTGGATGTTGTAATAAAGAGGACCAATGTAATTGGCATTCTGTCACTGAATGCGTATAAGACTTTTTGTTTCACTAGTTTTTCCTGCAACTGTTATTTTATTTGGCTTCTTAGTTTTTAAAGGCGTGAGGTGGCATGAGGCTTTTTGGGTCAATTTACCTGAGGCACGAGGAGAGGGCATGCGCCTCACAGAACTTAATCATATAACTTTGGTAAAATATATTTATACTACTTCTACATGAAGCCATCTTCCGAAAAATGATTACATCACAAAAATACCTTAAGCCATAACCAAGTTTAATAAACACATTAACTCCTTAAGAGAAACAAACTATTTATTCAAAAAGTAGCAAGAAACATATTAAATGCCAAACTATTGGAGATGTCTATACTCACAAACATTCAAGTTTCTCTAATAATATTGGAGGAGAAAAAATTTAAAGAATATGCTATGATTGGAATATTTAAGGGCTACTGCCTAACTAATTAATAGTAATCTAATAATAAATTGCTATGTAATTAACTGTTAATAGTAACTTTTATAAAATTAATAGTAATTGTTTTAATAAACTGTTATACAATCAATTGTTCATGATAATAAACTGTCATATATGACTTTTATATAATAAAATATAAAATAACACACAGTTAAGAGTAATTTTTAACAATTTGTTATATATTAAACTGTTAATAGTTATTTTTAAAAAATTAATAGTATATGCTTCAACAAACTGTTATGTAGTAAATTGATAATTATAAACTCTCACATATAACTGTTATACTACCTCCGTTCTTAAATAAATGCAACATGTGGAATTTTACACTGTTCACATGTTCTACTTTGACTACGTTTTATTTATTAATGTATTAATATTATTTTATGAAAAAAATATTGTTAAATTTGTCTCATTGTAAATTTTCAAAATCTATTTTTTTTAATTTTTTTACTGATACAAAATTATATATATTAATGGTCAAAGTTGTGTCTCGGCAAGTGTGAAATGTTGACTGTTGCATTTATTTAAGAACGGAGGAAGTACAATAAATTATCACATGATACACGGTTAATATTACTTTTTTTATCAAATTGTTAAAATTAAAAAATTTAAACAATCTGATTGTAGAAACCATCTTTATTACTCCCTCCTTCCCCCTATCTTTGTCCCATTTTACCTTTTCCGTTCGTCCCACTCAGTTGTCTCATAACATATTTGGTAATATTTGGATGGTTGCAATTCATTTTTACTTTATTCACTTTTTACCAATTCAATATCAATCACACAATTCCACTTTTCTTAATAACCGCACCACTCCATTTTGTCCCAAACTTAGGGGGACGTAGGTAGTATTATTTAAAATTGTTAAACTTTCTGATCGGGATTAGGTTTTATGGAAGATTATTTTATGTTTATATATTTAAATAATTTCAAGGTCAACTATTTGATAAATTTAAAAATTTGTAATATAAAAAGAAAAGAGTAGAGAGGACTATATGATAGGCATTGATAGCTGACAAAATTTCTGGAACTAGGTACGTGAAATTGTGAATTGCCAAAAGTCTCTTAGGAAAGATAGTCAACACCCCAGAGGCAGACCCCTCCTAGAAGTGCAGAAAGCGGCAAAAGGCAAGGGATAGGGTGTGCCTATGGGTATTTACTGCGCCTGAGACTAATCAATGCAATATTCCCATTGCACAGCGGCGGTGCATGCCTCCAGCACGCTTTTTAAATTAAGTTTAGCTTAACACAAATAAAAAAGAAGTTGCGTCTTTTTGACTTTCCAATAAATCTTTTTTTAAGTGAGAACCAGTTGCTATGGAAAAAATTCAATACATTATCCACATAATATGCTTACCGTATTTGGTGACAGCATGACATTGAATTTGCATGAGTGTAACTTGTTTTTGGAAATATTTTAGTCCTTATCTTGGACATAATTACGATGGAGATAAAATGAAAATCATCACAAGTTGTGGCATGAAAGAGTCATTTTAAGCCCCCCCCGTGTGGGCACACTTTAATGTGACCACACTATTACGCTAACAAATGTGGAAATAAAAACAAGTGGTTCTATTAAATTCGTGGGGGACCGCGTAGACTGATATAACTGATGACTCAATTTCCATATTCGGTGGTGTAGGCGCATTAGAATGCTACCACACGGGCTCCTTTGAATTATTAGGGATTTAGGGATGATATATTGAATATATTCTCTATATTAGTGTGCTGTATATTGAAGCTTATATTGAGCATTTAGAAGATTATTTTGTAATTGAGCATTTCTTAAATCATCCTAAATAAACTTAGAAGAAAAACATAAGTGTCACATTTTTTTACTTTTCATAAATAGTGTATCTTTTTTTAAAACTGAAATTCAGCTCTCATAGTCTCAAATACCCCCAATACTTAAAACCTACACCATTTTTATTTTGTTACATATTATTTTTAATGTTTAGTATCTAAGACTATTTGAAACTTCAAGTTTGTATATTCTGTCATGTGTAACATTGAATGAAAGAATAGGATTCACATGAGTGATTAACTGAATTTGGGTTAAGACTTATCAGAGTTGGTCATTGACACGATCTTTTGTGTGATTGTTGATCTCTCTTCAGGCATTTACTACTTTGTATCTACGGATCTGTTGCCGTTGCACTTGTTCTAGCCGGTCAGTTAAGAGAACTACAGGTTGTACATATTCTTACAGGTAAATTTTAATAATGGACTATTCCAAGCATGTTATTATACTTAGTTGCCGAGTACCACTTAGCAAAAACTGAAAATCTGTGGCATTGTTGTTATTACAGCCTATTACGGCATTGGAAGATCATTCAGGAGTTTGGCTCCATATGTTGTACAGGTAAACCAGATGTGCTCTAGGATTACGTGTCATGAGACTCATGATCTATGCATCTTTTTCTTTCTTTTTTAAAAAAATTATTCCAATTCCTATAGTCTTAAAATAATAATACCTCCGTCCCGTAATGTAAGATGCATGTAGATTTGGTGCGGGTTTTAAGAAAATAAATGATAAAGTGGTTGTTTTACAATTCCAACCTCCAAAAAGTAAGAAAGAAAAAAAAAGATCCACAAAAGGTAAAGGGTGAAATGATAGATAAAGAGATAACGTGGGAAATTAAAAAGTTAGTGGAGTCCAATTAAGGAAAGTGTTCATAATTTTGGGACAACCCGAAAAGGAAAGTGTATCTTACAAAATGGGAGGGAGGGAGTAGTAATTTGAAAGTTCAACGAAGTGCATTGTTGGTCCAGTTCGTAATTAATTTTTTTGAGCCACTTTGTTATTTAAATCCTGGAAAATGTCATAGTGTATAAGTGTTGGAGTTGATACCTAATTTATTGTCTGGACTGTATACTATCACTCCATTTAGTCCTCAATGTTTTTGGTAATCAAAGTTTTTCCTTGACTCTGTAATTTGGATGCGGTTTAGTAATAGGAAAAATCTTCATAGTTAGATTAAAATATGTGTGAGGGTTAAATTTAGTCTGAATTGGAGTCGACCCCCAGATTGAGTCCAAAAGGAAGTTGTTGACCAATTGAGTGATGTTATATCCTCTCTAATTGTCGACTAAATAAGGTATTAACTCTTAGTGTTGCTCCTAGAATGACGCAACTGGTTTAGTTGTTCCCCTTGTCTCTGGGAGAGTGGGAGGTCTGGGGTTCAAATCTATCCTTGCAAAAAGCAAAAGGAAGGTGACATAGATTGCCCTCTTCCCCAGAACCCCACTCCCATTTTTATTCTCTTTTACTCTGACGTGGTAAACATTTTGTTGTTGTTGTGTAGTCATTCTCTTTTAATAGTAGTATTTATGCGTGTAACAGTGGCTGATGGGGTCATATGACACACAAATACTTATTATGGTTTTCCTGGCTATAGTATCTATGCTGTTGGCTGGATTCCTCGCATACCATTCAAAACTATGTCTCACAAATACCACCACAAATGAGGTTCACTTTATTCTTCATTCTTCATGTGATTATTATACGCCCCCCAACTTTTCATGAATTAATAATAAGACCTAATACATCGACCTTAAAACTAAACATTGCAACTTGTAACAAAACAACTGAATCATGTTTACCTGAGATAACATGTACTACCTCTGTCCCCTTTTAAATGTCCCGTTTTACCATATTGGGATGTCCCTATTTAATTTTCCCATACCTTATTTGGTAAAGTTTGTGTGGCTCAAAATCATTCTTACTTTATTCTTACTTTATCAATTAATATCAACCACACAAACTCACTTTTCTTAAAACTCGTGCCACCCTCTTCCGGGACATTTAAAAGGGGACGGAGGGAGTAGTCATTAGCTCACCGCAGTGTCGTCATGAGGTGAGGTGGGCAGTTCAGGTGAGGCGCACACTTTTAACAGTGACGCAAGGCGGGCACTAGACACTAATTGCATCTGGTCTGTTTACAATTATGGATTAGTCTACTTCTTTGGTTTATCATTGCTATCATTGCCGCCATCGTCTTAAAAATATCCATACTATCTACTACCTTCGTTCTTAAATAAATGCAACATGTTGAATGTTACACTATTCACGTGGTGTACTTTGACTACGTTTTATTTATTAATGTAGTAATATATATTTTTGAAAAAAAATATTTTTAAATTTGTCTCATAGTAAATTTTCAAAATCTATTTTTTTTACTAATTGAGAATTATATATATTAATGATCAAAGTTGTGTCTCGACAAGTGTGAAATGTTGACCGTTGCATTTATTTAAGAACGGAGGAAGTATATTATAGAATGGGTTAAGAGAGTTTTGGTAGTGAGAGTTCAATAGTTCTTTTTTGTTGGGTTGGGATGTGGAGTCGGAAGATCTTGGTGTTTAATTGTTGAATCGTGAAAATTTTGAGGGTCTGTTTCATCCTTTTACCTTTTAAATATTGATAGGAAACCATAATCTCTTGGCATATCTTTAAATACAATAACATAGACATCCAAGCCTTATTCCCAAAAAATTTTGGGGTCGGCTAACATGAATCAATCCATGTTGTTGGAGCCAAAAAGAAAAGAAAAACAAGAAAAGTAAAAAGATAAGGTAAGATAAAAAGGATAAGATAAAGATAAATATACAATAAAAGAATATAAGAAAAATAAAAGATAAAAATAACATAAGAAAATAAGAAAGATAATCTACAAACCTTGGACGGACTGTGAAAGGTATATGCCTGGAAGATTAAGTCAAATATTTTTTGAATGCAACTTGAAAATGTTATATTTACATAAAATTTGTATTCTGATAATATTATATATGTGAAAGTACAGACTTTAAAATGGCAAGATTACTTGGGCTGGCAAAGGAAGGTGAAAGAAGCGAAAGCGAATGCTGTGGCTCTAAAAGCAAGCGTGAATGAAATAGGCTATGAAAAAAAGCAGCAAACAAACAAATGGAAGGCCCTGTGTCGCAGATCTCGTCTAGAGGAAGTTGAGGTTGTGAAAACCAACTTGTATGACAGAGGGTTTTTGCAAAATTCACTTCAGATCGTCATCCCACTCTCAACACGGCACTCATTTCACAATGCAAATAAATCAAAAACAGGGTAATTTTGCAGTTTAGCCTATTTACTAATTAATTAATTGTTTGCCACTGGCTTGGCTTGCAAGATAGGCAAGTCCTCGGTGCGTTGATACTTTGGCATGGGGCGGGCTGATTACGGTTCCCAAATTGGCCGTTGCATAGTTTTGGGGAGGGGGGCAGGACTGTACCGAGGGTCGGCCGGTACTTGGCGGTCACAGTTAACCGATCAGTTGTCGCACCGATTCCCTGGCCCAATTCTGATTGTTTGGTTCCTCAATTTTTATGTATTCTTCTTGGAAAGCTATGTATTTGTTCTAGTAAGATTTGTATCGATTCTAGTAAGATTGACTTGGATATGTAAGTAATGAGAAGGAACTTCTCTTCTTTCTCAGGTGTGGGAAAAGTGAAAAGAAGCAAATAAGAATGGATTAGAATTTGTTATTGCATGAAATTAGATTGGATCTCCGATACTAAACATTGAATCTTTCATAATATCACCTTCAAGGTCAATGGGAAATAGTTGATTTTAAATACTTCCCCCGTTCCTTTTTAATTGCAACAGTCAACATTTCACGTTTGCCAATGCACAAGTTTGACCATTAATATCTTTTATTTCTTATTAGTAAAAAAATTAAAAAAATTCATATTTTGAAAATTTAGAATGAGAAAAATGTAACAATATTTTTTAAATATTTAATTTATTATACATCAGTTAATAAAATGTAGTCAAAGTAGAACATGTGAATAATGCAAAAAGTCCAATGTTGCACGTGGAGTGGTTGGCCAATGGTATTAGCCCCGAAGGGCGACACATGGCGGATGTGCGTCGATTACTCAGACCTCAACAAAGCCTGTCTGATGGATCCATATCCGGTGCCAAGAATCGACCTGCTAGTGGACGAGACAGCAGGCTGCGAGCTGCTCAGCTTCATGGATGCATTCAGAGGCTACCATCAGGTGTTTATGCACCCGGATGATGCAGAGAAAACGGCGTTCGTCACAGACTCACAGCGGATGGCGTGTACTATTACATAGTCATGCCGTTCGGCCTGAGGAACGCCATGGCTACTTTCTAGAGGATGATCGGGATGTTATTCAAAGACGTACTGGGCAAAACCATGGAGGCCTACGTGGATGACATCCTGATCAAAAGCAAGAAGAAGGAGGACCACATCCGGGACATGGAGAGAATCTTCAGCATCATGGAGAGGGCTAGCATGAGGCTTAATCCAAAGAAATGTGCCTTCGCCGTCAAGGGTGGCAAGTTCCTCGGCTACATGATGAGCGAGCGCGGGATCGAGCTTAACCCGGAGAAGGTGAAGGCAATAGTCGACATGGAGGCCCCGAAGAACCTGAAAGACGTGCAGCGGCTCACCGGACGACTGGCAGCCCTGAGCCGATTCATGTCTAAACTGGTTGATAAGGCGATACCTTTCTTCCAGATCATGAAGAAGGCAAATCCCTTTGAATGGACACCGGACTGCCAGGCTGCCTTTGAGGATTTTAAAGTATACCTCTCCTCTCCGCTCGTCCTCACCAAGGCGGACCCAGGGGAGCAATTGTACATGTACCTGGCGGTAGCAGACCTGGCTGTGTGTGCTGTACTGCTGAAAGAGGCAGAGGGCGTTCAGCGGCCAATATATTTTGTAAGCAAGGCGCTGAACGGCCCAGAGACCAGATACACGCTGATGGAGAAGACGATCCTCGTCTTGATAGCATCCATCAAACGCTTGGCACCATACTTCCAATCACACCCAGTGACGGTCTACACGACACAACCTCTCGCCACAATCCTCAGGAACCCCATGGCCAGCAGGAGAATAACCAAATAGTCCCTGATGATCGGCCAGTACAATGTGGAGTTCAAGCCAAGGCCGACGATCAAGAGACAGGCACTTGCGGATTTCATTGCTGAATGCACTGCGCGTACCGAGGACGAACCCCAAGACGACAATGAAAAATTATGCAGAGCGACGAATCAGAATCTCGCACACAAATACAGGAATGAAAAGAAATGACAAAGTGAAAGAATACGAACGTCAAGACAATCATAAAGCAAAATGTGTGTATTCCTCAGCACTACCGGCTGGAATTTACAATGATATCAAGCAAGCAAGTAAAGTTTTACATCAAACAAAGTAGGGAGAGCCGGGCCGGGACCCCCCAGGATTGGCATCTTCTTCTTCTTTTTCAAGCTCGGGCTCAGGCGACGGGGGCTCCGGGACTTTGCCTCTGGTCTTGGCTTCCTCCCGACGAGCGTCCCGCTCCAAATTGCCCAGAGCTCGGATCAGCTCGGCATCAGTGGTGTGCTGGGCTAGGTTGAAGTCAGGACCATGAAGAGCGGCAAAAATGGGCAACGTGGCCTTCACCCCCTCATTGAAGCCAATGACAAAAGAGCTGTCCCCAACATCATACAGAAACTTGTCAGAAAGAGGGACGCTCTCCAAGATCCGGACCCCAAACTTAAGGCGGTCCTTCGGCTTTTGCTTCCCCAGCTCAGCCGAAAACACATCACCAAAAGCCCCATCCACAATACCTCTGGGCAGCGATCATAAACTGTAACACCCCCATTTTCCCTCCCAAAGTAATACTTGAAATAATAGATTTATTAACAATAGACTTGATTTATTCTTTCAAAACAGATAAAAAGTTTTGCAGCGGAAATAACATTAAATGGGAAATGGGTGTTACCGCCACATCCGGTCATCTCTTAACCGAATGCACAGGCTATTCCAAAACTAAATGGAGTAAAACAAGTGTTCAACATAATTAAATTATAATTCTTGACTAGGTTTGACTAAGGCATCTCTAAACCGCTCTCGTGGTCATACAATCATCAGTCCACATAACCATCATCACCTGCACAAATAAAGTGCAGAAAACAAAACACAGAAAAGGAAACAAAAAAAATTAGCTTTAGAGCTAAGTAAGTACTACCCAACCCCGTAAAATAATCAGGTTTGACTAAAAATAGTTTTTCATATAATACTATATAAAAATGACACACTCCACCAAAATTCTTTTCTCTTTGATATTTTCTCAAAATCACTTCTTTAATAAAGTCCTCAACTTTTCTTTGAAAATACTATAGTAACTCTTCTCTTAGAATTTCTCAAAATTCACTTCTTCTCTATCTTACTAGTAATTTAGAAGGGCGGTGCTCAACACTCTGGTTGAGCCCGGTGGTTACGTTGTTATGTACGGCCACCCCGGGACTTTTGCCGGTACCACAACTGCTAATGGAAACGAAACGACTACCTTAAGTGTGCACACCCCCTAAAAGGGATTCCAAGCCCTCCGAGTAGTAAGTCGTCACGAGTAATCGGGACTCAGTCTACCAACTACCCCACCTTTAAAATTCTTGAATGATTAGGGACTACTACTACTATAACTTCTTCTTAAAAGGGATCATAGATCCAAACGTCACTTCAAACTCAAACTGTACTTCTTAGTAGTAGCAGCCTTAATCACCCTCCACATTTATCCGGATGTGGAAAACCGACACCACGGATTTCTCCCGGGTGCTCACCTCTTATGAAATCCTTAATTTTATCTTGAATTAAGTATACTTCAAAAATATTTCTCAACCTCTCTAAATAGTCTCAAAAGTATTTAAAATATTTAATACCCAAAAGAACTTCGTTTGCACTTCAAAAATACCTTAAATCTAATATCTCCTCAAAATCACATACACATAATTCAAAATTCACTCTTTATCACAAAATGCATAATAAGCATATAGTACGAGGAAATCATTTTGGATCGGCAGAGAAACTTACCTCGATTCGTGTCACTCCTATTCAAGTTGTTATTGTGATCTTCACCGCAACCACCTTTTAACTATTAAAGTCCCACAATCAGTATTTTATTCTATTTATGCATTTTATCCCATTTCTCCTAAGCCATTATTATTATTAGGGATTTCTTATTATTATCATTATTTTTATCTTAGTCCAACTACTCAGTTTAAGGGCGACGCCCTGTTTAAGGATTATATCATCGACCAACCCAAAGCATACTAATGTCCAGGTGTACCAAAGAGAATAAAAGACGCAGAGGACTTACGTACTCAGACGTCTTCCTCGTTGATGAAGTTCGACCGGCGACGCAGAGTACGTTTACTCTTCCTCCGACGGCAACGGCAATGACAAGCCATCATGAGACGGCGTGACGGACCGGCGGCGTGGCCTGGCAGCTACTTCTGTCGGTCTCCTTCTTTCGGCATGAACCTAGTCCGGTGAACTATGGCGTCTAGTAGCGGTTTCCCACGCTCCCAGAGACCTCCGTTCCTACGGTGACGGACTGATGGAGTGTAGGTCGGACCCCAGTTCCGTAGTCACCCCGGCGGACTCTTCTACTCTGGCGGCGAGGATAATACGTTCCGGCAAGCTCCTTTGTTCCCCGGCATCGTTTCTCTTCTCCTGCGAGCTCCTTTATTCTGGTTTTCTGGCCGGGTGTAGCGTAAGCTAGGTGAATTGAAAGGTGACATACGTATATGAGTATATACATATATGCAGTTGCTTTTGTGTTGTGTGAGGTAGGTAGTGCAGCGCAGCAGTGTGAATTCGTATGTAATTAATCTATTTTTGACCTTATAAGATTGGTTTGACATAATCATGGGCATTGAAATACATTGAACTTGTTTTATATTGGGTATGCTATGTATCTACCTGTATTATTGTCATCTACATATTATTGTTCTATCGCAGGTATATTATTATTTGTATATTATCATTCTTATGTACTCTTTGGCATTTTCCAATTACCGATCTAGCATGTGCGGTTGTTGGTTGTTCGCTGGATAGCAGGCAAGTGGTGTGCAGGGTTCATTGTATCATACTGGCTGGCTATATTATTACTTCGCACAAGCTGTATTATAGTTGGAAGTGTGTATGCATATTATTGTGTATATTTGATGAATAATTAGATATGGGTACGTATTTATTAGATTCAAAAAGTCAACTATTTTAATATTGTTACTTTTGTATAGTGTATATTTGTACACATATTACTAATCCATTAAAATTGTTAAAATGTCACTTTTATTATTTATATCAGATGAATAATTATCATTTCTTACAAAATGTCACTTTTTTTATTTAAATCAAGGTCCTATTTGGTCAACATAATTACTATAAAAACGTCACTTTTATTATTGAAACATTTTTATCTGATTAAAGTTGTTACCAATGTTAAAATTTTATCTGATTCACTTAATTATAAAAATGTGACTTTCGTAACATTGTATCTGACTAGTAATTTTTTTTTTTTTTTTCGGGGTGTCACATTCTACCCTCCTTAAAAGATGTTTCGTCTCGAAACATAAACTAAAGAAAATTTTATCCACAAATGAATACCACATCTTAGTTAATATTAAATTTTATTTTATTAAATTTATGGAGTGTCACATTCTAACCCCCTTAAAAGAATGCTTTGTCCCCGAAGCATAAACTATTATCCAATTTCTACTGTATAAAATTATGAAGTGTCACATTCTACCTCCCTTAAAAGAATGCTTCGTCTCTGAAGCATA